CCTCCCTGCCTCCCACCATGGCTCCAGAGATCCCCCTCTTTCCTCCAGCATCTCTCCTTCGGCCTTGGCTCTTCCTGTTGGCCCCAAACACAGTGATGTGGCCCCATCCTCTCCCTCCATCTCCGTACAATCCCCACTCCTCAGGCGTGGTTGTCTAGTGTTGCTATCTCCACAGTGGCTGCGCTGGGCTGAGCAAAGAGAGGGAGGAATTGAGGAGGGACCAGGCTGAGACCCAGAGATTAGGTGGGTCCTAGGGCCCAGGGTCGTCAGACTCTGAAAACAAAGGCAGTGACCAAAGGAGTTCTGGGGCACCTGTCCCCAACTGGCCATTGGGCACCAACACTGTGGTCCTGTAAGTGACCTAACCGCCTGTGACCCCTAGCTCACCATATACTCTCATATCGCCACACCCTTGCACCCTGGCACCATCCGTCTGACATCCCTGTCTGTACCTCAGGCTGCCTGATGAACTCCTGCTCCTTTCTCAAGCTCCCTCCACATTACCTCCTGAGAGAAGCACCTCTGACGAGATCCACACCCAGCTGTCCATTGCTCTGTATGTAATAACCTGCACCACACCATCCTGGGCAAACTGGACATAGCCAAGAAGCCCCCAGGCCTGATCTAGTGTCTCTCCCAACCCTCTGCTCCAGCCTGGGTAGGTTGTGGAGGGTCTTCAGGGTGCTTGCTGAACTAAGTGAAATGCCAGGGTAGGGGGAGCAGAGCCTGTTCCTGGAACAAGAGGATTCGCGCCATGGAGGTAGGTGGGTGATGCCTTTCTGAATTCTTGCCTCAGGAACTTGCCTTCCTGGCAATTTCTTTTTGCTCTATTTTCTGTATTTCCAAGTTTATTTAAACAAACAAAATCCCAAAGTTTATCGTAAAGATCATCTATTTTCTCTCATATTACCATTGCAATTAAAAAAATACTATTTTTGAAAATTGAAGAATAGTTAACTTACAGTGTTTCAGGTGTATAGCAAAATGATTTAGTTATATACTATATATATAGCTATATACTATATATATACTGTGTGTGTATATATATATATATATATACACACATAGTTAAGATTTTTTTCCATAATATGTTTTAATTAAAATAAGAAATAAAATTCCTTTTATCTACTTTCCTGCTGAAAAGGCACCTTGGATTGGGAAAGGCTTTGGCCTTCATTTGGCCTTTGTGCAATTTATGATGGGGCTTTGATGCCCCCTAGTGGCAACTGGAATTATAGAGCTGGCACTAAGGACAGTCTAGCCAGGCTCTAAGACCTGCGGGAGACTGACCCAGGGCATACCATTTGGTTATCAGCCATCTCCCTGCAGGCAGATGGACATGACGTGAAAATACCTCAACTCAACTGGGAACTGACCACCTGTTGGTTCTGGGCCACAGACCAGGACTGTGCTTGGGCCTGGTTGTGCTAGACCCAGGCAGGATCTGCAATTTGGGGTCAAGGATGAAACAGTGTGCTAGGCTCGTGTTTATCCCCATTCAGCCTGGAGCAGCCTGGGCTGTTCTACAAGAAGGGCAATGAAGAACCTCCCAGAATCCAAAAAGGCCCACCCCCTTCTCAAGTTTCACAGGCTCAATGGACATGAGTTTGAGCAAACTCTGGGAAATAGTAAAGGACAGGTAATCCTGGCATGCTGCAGTCCGTAGTGTTGCAAAAAGTTGGACATGACTTAGTGACTGAACAACAACTTCTCAAGCATGTCACCTCCACCCAGGACGCATAGGTCTTGCCTGTGCTGACCTCACACTCCACATCCTCTGATCTCTCTGCACTGAGTCTGTGTTGTCTGACCACTTCCTGCAGTGACTGGTTACTAACACAGGGCTTGGACTTGAGGAGGGAAGGGAGAGACCAAGGGAGAATTGTGGACTCTTCCTTCTGTGGTGCTCTCAGCTCATTTCAATCTCTAGGCAACAGCTGTTGTACTTTCTGTCCAGAGCTCTTCTCCCTGGTTGCTGTGTGGCTGGCAGTTTCTTGTCATTCGTATGTCACCTCCTTGGAAAGACCTTCCAAGGCGTTCAATCTAAAGCACGCTCCCTGAACACCTTCCATCTGTCTAGTCACTGCCATATCCCCCGCGTCCAGTAGAGGGCCAGACTCTTAGGTATTCAGCACCCAAAGCTTTTATGGGACTTATGAGGAGTCAGAAAGGATGACATTGCTCCTTAGCATAGCGACAGGAGAAAGTTTGCTCTGCCCCGCCTCCCCTGGACCCTCAGACTGGAGAAAGTACACTGGGCAGGATGCAGGGGAGCCCAAGAGGGAGGCACTCAGAGCTAAAGGGTCAGTGGGACCCCAAGGGTCAGGTGGCAGACTGAAGCCACATTCAGTGATGTCCCAGCCTCTGTCATGCACATCAGTCTGTTCCACCCCAGGGCCACAGTGGCAGTCCTCCCAGTGGGTCCTGCCCACCCATCTCTTTCAGGGCTCTGTCCTCGAGTAGTGTGAATAACCCAGAGGTATGCAACATTTGAGCTAGTTTTTTGTTCTTCCATGTATTCATTTTTCCTTTTTCAATAAGATTCCAAATCCCCTAAGCACAGGCACTTTATAGTAAGTTTTTTAAAAAGAATTATTGCATGCATTTACACATCCTTCGTAAGATACAGGAGACTGTTTCTGACTTTTTAAAAATATATATTTGTTTCTTTTTAATTGATGGTTGCTTTACAATATTGGTTTGATTTCTGTCATACACCAACATGAATGAATTATAGGTGTACATCTGTCCCCCCTCACTCTTGAATGTCCCTCCCACCCCCACCCATTCCAGAGCCCAGTTTGAGTTCCTTGAGTCATGCAGCAAATTCCCATTGGTTGTCTGTTTACATGTGTTAGTGCATATGCTTCCATACTGCTCTCTTCATTCACTTCACCCTCTCCCTCTTCTCCCCCACCCTTGTCGTGAGTCTGTTCTCTATCTCTTCGACTCCACTGCTGCTCTGTGAACAGGTTTATTAGTGCCATCCTTCTAGATTCCCTATATATGCATTAGTATACAATATTTGTTTTTCTTTTTCTGACTCCCTGCACTCTGCATAATAGGCTATAGGTTCATCCACTTTATTAGAACTGACTGAAATGCAGTCCTTTTTATGGCTGAGTAATATTCCATTGCATTTATGTATCATAGCTTCTTTATCCATTCATCTGTTGATGGATGTCTAGGTTGCTTCCATGTCCTGCTGCTGCTGCTAAGTCACTTCAGTCGTGTCCGACTCTGTGTGACCCCATAGACATCAGCCCACCAGGCTCCCCCATCTCTGGGATTCTCCAGGCAAGAACACTGGAGTGGGTTGCCATTTCCTTCTCCAATGAGTTAAAGTGAAAAGTGAAAGAAGTCGCTTAGTCGTGTCCGACTCTTAGCGACCCCATGGACTGCAGCCTACCAGGCTCCTCCATCCACAGGATTTTCCAGGCAAGAGTACTGGAGTGGGGTGCCATTGGCTTCTCCGTTCCATGTCCAAGCTATCTTAAATAGCCAAAGCAGTCTTGAGAAAGAAAAATGGAGTTGGAAGAATCAACTTACCTGATTTCAAACTATACTACAAAGCTACAGTCATCAGGATAGTATGGTATTGGCTCAATGACTTGTTTTTATTACGTTATTCCTGGTCTTCTTTAATAAGAAAGATTTCAGTCTGCTCTATTAGTAATTCAAAAGCTAGATTGCATCTTCTCTTTTACTACCTTCACTCATCCTTTTGAAGCATCCTAACGCACTGGAGAAGGAAATGGCAACCCACTCCAGTGTTCTTGCCTAGAGAGTCCCAGGGACGGGGAAGCCTGGTAGGCTGCCATCTGTGGGGTCGCACAGAGTCGGGCATGGCTGAAGCGACTTAGCAGCAGCAGCAGCAGCAGTGCTTCACTAGGCATTAGAAAATATACTGGAAAAGGACTCTTTAAATACTCAGAGTGTTACTTGTTACTTCAAGTAAACAGCTTTTTATAATGAACTTGGGCATGTTGAATCAGGATCAGGGCATGCGAGGCTGCAGTAACAGTGTGGGTAAAAGTTTAGAGGTGTAAAAAAAAGTGTGTGGTTCACCTAGGAAGCCACAGCACTTCTGTTACCTGGAGCATTGAGAAGATAGGTAGCTGTGAGAATAGGAAAATAGAAGCGCTAGATGGAATCAGGCCTACGTCTCTGTATGGGTCTTTCCTAGTGACTCAGTGGTCAAGAATCTGTCAATGCAGGAGATGCAGGTTTGATCCTTGGGTTAGGAAGAGTCCCTGGAGAAGGAAATGGCAATCCACTCTAATATTTTTTCCTGGGAAATCCCATGGACAGAGGAGCCTGGTGGGCTATGGTCCATGGGATCACAAAAGAGTTGGACACGACTTAGTGACTAAACAACAACAGCAAATCTGGACAAGGTCCAGAAGACCCTCCAGGACTGGAAAATTAAGTATAAACCAACCTGATCACATTTGCCTTTTCTAAAATTCAATCTGGCTCCCCAATGGACTACAGATTGCCAGGGTGTGGGTACAAGGGCCCATTTGGTGCAAGGAGGCATGTTAAATCATCAGGCGAGAGAGTTACTAAGACCTGAGTCAAACAGACACTAGCAACAAAGCATTTGTTCAGAGAGTGTAGTTTATTTTCACAGATGTGTACCTCAGTTTCAAACCTGAGGTACAAATGAACATATTCCCAATTCCCCATCTTAAGTCTTGTCCAGAAGGAGCAGAACGTGGCTCCTCTGCTAAAATAAATACCCTTCACATTTGCACAAGGTAATAAATAAATACATACATAAATAAATAAGTCTCAATAGATTAAAAATGAGAACATAATCGCAAAAGGACAAATGGGGGCCACACATTTCAGGAATTAAATAATGATTCATCTGACTCCACAGGAGAAAATTCTTCCAGGCCTGGACCATGTGAGAAACATCGAAGAAATTTAGGACAGTCTGTTGTCACTGATGCTCTGAGGCTTCAGAGAGGGAACCGGGCTTCAGACTTCAGATGTTAGGGAAACCACAGGTTCTTGGACTTCAGATAGTTTCTAATGATAGCCAAATATTCTTCCAATTTCATCCGAAAATCCCCCAACTTGTTTTTCTCAATAAAAATTGGATTTTCCTGTGTAGAAACAAAGAAGGAGGCATCATCAGATGAAGCCAGGTTGGAAGGTGGATGACAGGCTGGGGTCAGGATGTGGCTCAGGGCATCACCTCAGGGGCATTTTGGGGGCAGCTTACCGTGGATGTGGCTGTGGGCAGCACTGGCTGGAATTCCTGTGGGGAGAGACCAAAGCAAACAATCAGAGACTCTCCTCGATGATAAGCAAGACCCGCTACCCTCCTACCAGAGGAAGGGCAGGGTCAAGGTAGGGATCCCCAAGCCCTTGACAGCTTCACATACCTTAAGATTTTTCATGATTTTTGAATCATTTCCAAAAGTATCTGTGGCAAATGTCATGAATACTTTCAGGTTTTTCTGCAGAAGGCTCTCTTTCTAAGGGGACAAAGAACACATGTAAGGGGGAAAAGTTGGAGAGTGTCCTCATGGGTGGGCTGAAGTCACCCTCACAGTTTTCCAGTCCTGCTTTTGGGGACATCCCCGGACAGCTCCTTCCTAGTCCCCTTCTTGCCCCAGGTAGGTCCCTGAACTGCTGCAAAGGTCACCAGCCAAGAGGTGGATGCACACCCCAGACAAGCTTTACATCACCCACGAACCAAGCCTGTGGCTCTTGTGAGCTGCATGAAGGGCTTGGGTGGATCTTTTTGCACTTGGAGGAAAAAAATACTTCCCCAAACAGACTCTAAAAAGGCAAAAGTCTGCCTAAGGGAAATATTTGCAGCTAAAAGGCCATGACTGAATTAACGGCTCCTTGAAATCAGGAAGACAATCACAGAGACCCCAGCCTGGAAAGGGGTGCAGCATGTGAACTATTAGTGCCTAAGAGAGGGGAAATGCAAATGGCCAATGAACTCAGGATAGATTCTACCTCTTGTTTGACCCAAGAGTTGCCATGAAAGCAAAGGTGAAATAACCACGTTAGGAAAAATAGCTGAAAGTGATGATGACGAGTGCTGGTTGGCATTGGAAAACATGACTCAATTATTTAAGGAAAAGGAAGGTGGCAAGCATGATCCTGTGGGAAATTTTAGTCTGCCAGCCCAGAAACTGCCCCACTGAAAACTGAGCTTAAGGCCTCCGGTATTGTTCATCTAGAGCTGCCTTTTCATTTTGTAATTTTTTAAAAAAATCATTTTCATTATTATAGCCATAACTGGGGGAATGTCCCGAGCACCCGCTAAGCACCAGACACTGGTCTGGGAACTTGATGCACAGGGTGCATTTAGTTTTCACAACACCACCACCGAGATAGGTGCTGTTAACCCTGCTTACAGATGAAAACACAGAGGCTAACCAAGGTGGCATGACATGCCTGAGGTCACCAGACAGGAAGTAGATGGGAACCCACCCAAGGGCACCCATGTGTGGGGTTGAACTCTTACCGTCAGGAAATTCTTCTCATCTGAGCTCAAGGAGTCCTGTTGAGGCAGAGAGAGAGCGAGCTCCTGAGTCCTATTCGCCCAAGGCACCTGCCAGCCCTTTCCTGCCCCTTGCCAACCTTATCCCCGCTACTCACTGTTGGAGTCGTAGTTATTTTCTCTAGGTCATTCATAATTTCCTTCATCAAGACAGAATATCCAGACCTCGATGTCATGACAGGCAACCCCTTTGCCTGAGGGGCATGGAGTGCAAGCAGGAGCAGGAGCAGATGCAAGATGGAGAGACTGCTCATGTTTGGGCTGGCAGGATGGACTCTGTCTTGTCCAGGTCCTTCGTGGCGTTCTGAAGTGTCCGAGACAGCCTCCGACTTTTATACAGCGTGCCCATGCCCCGGGGAAGCGAGGGGAGGGCGGGCTTCGGAAGAATCTTTATCTGACATGGAACCTCCATAGCAAACCACAGACTTATTCATCACTTTCTAGTACTCGAGAACAGTGAAACTTGAAAAAAAAAACTTACTCAAAGGGTATCACCTTATCTTGCCAAGGAGGCTGAGACAGGCAGGTCACTGGGCAGGGTGGGGATAGGTGAGAGATCCTCTCTGACAGGTGAGGGGTCCCCTGACTCTGAGCTCCTGCCCCGTGGGATGCGGTCTTGCCATGCCCTGAACAGCCCTGACCTTCTGCTGCCCACCCCACCTGGACTGCCTGGTTCTGAATGGGTGGCCAGGTGAAGGCCCAGTGGAGCAGGCAGGAATTTATCTGGCAGCCAGTGAATAAAGGAGAGAGTTGTGTTGCAGGGGTCTGGATCCCAGTCTGTTCTGAAGGTGATTTGACTGATGCATGTTGGCGGGAAGGGTTTGCTGAACAGGGCAGACCCTGGCGGGGGTTGGTCCTCAAAGGACCAGAGAAGCAGCACCCAGATAGGAAGAAGGCAGGCTCGGAGGGTGGGGGGCCCCGAGGGCAGGCCCTGGAGGAAGAGGTGACCCCCTGCCCCATGGGCATGTCAGGCCCTGACATAGGCTCAGGGCAGGGGATTTTGGCAAAGGGGTGTCACAGGGACATGGGGAAGAGTTCTTTGAGATCACTGGACCTGCGGTGGGAGGAAGAAGAGAGTCAGGATGGAAAAGCCAGGGGCTGGGGTGCAGTGTGATGTGATCAGTGTCAGTGTGGGGAGATGAAGGATAGGAGGTTATGCTGAGGCAGGGGAATTTGGGTGTGTCAGGCTTCTAAGCAGGAGCAGATCTGTTGAAGACAAGGACCAGGATGTGGCTGCAGCAGAGGCAGGTGAAGAGCCTGTGATGTAAGGCCGTGTCATGACAACATGCCTGTGGCCGTAGGCCCCTGGCTCAGCTCTCGGATCTGGGCCCAGAGCGTCCTCAAAAAGCAACTGGAGAGTCTAAAAGGCATGAGTGAAATTAGACAACAGAAAGACATAAGGAGGCTGAGGACTGGATACGCATTAAGAACAATTCATTCAACAAACTTATATGAAGCACTTGCTATGTGCAGGCATTGTGAATAAAGCACACATGGTCCCTCTCCTTAAGAGATGCACAATCTTTTGGGTAGAGATAGATGTAAAGCCTTCCTATTCAGCTTGGACCTCAAAACTGCAGCTTCAGCATTGGCTGGGGGCTTGTGTGAAGTGCAGACCCTCAAGTTTCACCCCAGACTTTCTGATTCAGAATTGCCTTTTGACCAGGTCCTCAGGTAATTCACATGACATTTAGTAAGTTCTGATTTAATTACCAGGTTATGGAAGCAACCTAAATGTCCCTCAGCAGATGAAGGGATAAAGAAAATGTGATATATGTGTGTAATGATATATATATATACATATACACATACACATATATAGGTTTCCCTGGTGGCTCAGTGGTAAAGAATCTACTGCAGTGCAGGAGCCACAGTAGATGCAAGTTTGATCCCTGGGTTGGGAAGATCCCCTGGAGGAGAATATGGCAACCCACTCCACTAATCTTGCCTGGAGAATCTCATGGACAAAGGAACCTGGTGGGCTACAATCCATAGGGTCACAAAGAGTTGGATGTGACTGAAGTGACTTAGCACGTATGTGTGTGTGCGTGTGTGTCTGTCGGTGATGCCACCCAGCCATCTCATCCTCTGTCGTCCCCTTCTCCTCCTGCCCTCAATCCCTCCCAGCATCAGGGGCTTTTCCAATGAGTCAGCTCTTCGCATGAGGTGGCCAAAGTATTGGAGATTCAGCTTCAGCATCAGTCCTTCCAATGAACGCCCAGGACTGATCTCCTTTAGGATGGACTGGTTGGATCTCCTTGCAGTCCAAGAGACTCTCAAGAGTCTTCTCCAGCACCGCAGTTCAAAAGCATCAATTCTTCAGCACTCAGCTTTCTTCACAGTCCAACTCTCACATCCATACATGACCACTGGAAAAACCATAACCTTGACTAGACAGACCTTTGTTGGCAAAGTAATGTCTCTTATTTTTAATATGCTATCTAGGTTGGTCATAACTCTCCTTCCAAGGAGTAAGCGTCTTTTAATTTCATGGCTGCAATCACCATCTGCAGTTATTTTGGAGCCCCCAAAAATAAAGTCTGACACTGTTTCCTCTGTTTCCCCATCTATTTCCCATGAGGTGATGGGACCAAATGCCATGATCTTAGTTTTCTGAATGTTGAGCTTTAAGCCAACTTTTTCACTCTCCTCTATTACTCAGCCATAAAAAAGAATGACATTTTGCCATTTGAAACAACATGAATGGACTTGGAGGGCATTATGTTAAGTGAAATCAGTCAGACAGAGAAAGAGAAATGCTGTATAATATTACTAATGTGGAATCTAAAAAATAGAACAAACTAGTGAATATAACAGAAAAAGAAGCAGATTCACAAATACAGAAAACATACTAGTGGCTACTGGCAAAGAGAGAAAAGCGGGGAGGGGCAATATAGAAGTAGGGGATTAAGAGGTACAAGCTATTAGGTATAAAATAAGCTACAAGGGTATATTTCATAACAGATATATTTGGATAGGCAATATTTTATAATAACTATAAATGAGTATAACAAAATTAGTGAATTACTGTACACCTGTAATATTTAATATTGTACATTAACTATATTTCAACTTAAAAATAGGGAAGAAAAATAAGAATTTTTTAAAAAGTTCTGATTTAAAATATTCAGCTCAAGCAGGGGTAGGGGTTTGTGTCCAGAGACCCAGGACTTCTTAAATACTCAACTGCGGTTTGGTGCTACATTCTCTGTAAGAGTTTTGGGACCTGTGCATACACACACACAAAAATGTGATTTCTTATAGAGAAAAACTTTCCTTTTTATGTAAATAGGCTTTCTGAGGGAAACTGAAAACTATGGAGGCTGAATATTCCCACAAGTCTTCTCTCAAAGTTCTGGCTTCAGATTGTATTCTAAGCAAAGAAAAATTTTGCGTAGAAAATTTTACAGTTGTTACTGTTATTGTAAATCTTGACCATTGTAGTTTGCCTCTTGTATTAAAAACAGTTATCAAATCTATCAAAGGAGAAGTAGGTTTAGGCTTCATGCTAGGAGCATTGGAAGCATTGCGGGGGGTTTTTAGCCAGGGACAGGTGTGTGTGGTCCCTAGAAGGTTCGAGTCCCAGGAATCCCAGTCTAGCTACTGTGGGGAGAATGGTTGGGAAGAATCAGGACAGCAGGTTGGCTGGTGAGGAGTCTGGGGCATTCTCTGTAACACAGATAGTGGGAAGGCTGGAGTGAGTTGATTCTGGTGGGGAGCAAAAGAACCAGATGCAGTTAGAGACTTTTTTTTTTTCAGTTAGAGACTTTTAACAGCTCGCTTTTACTGAGCAGCACTTACTAAAATGCTGGGCACTAAGTTCTTTTTTAATGGTTAATTCATCTCATCCTCACAGTGAGCCCCAAGGCAGGGACTTTGATTACCCCATTTTACAGAAAAGGAAACTGATTCGCAGAGAGGTGGAGTTCCTGCAGCTAAGAAGCAACATCACCAGGACTGAATGCAAGCAAGTCTGTCTGACCCCAGAGGCTGAGGGGTCACAACAGCACTGGAAAGTGGCAAATTAGGAGGTAAGGCCAGGTGGGTGGTGGGGGGAGTAGTAGGGTAAGGATAAGATGTGGCCCCTGGGATTATCGTCCTGGGTAAAGGACAAGGAGGCCACTGGAGCCTCGGGGTGTGGGAGGGTCAGTTTTAGTGTATAGTGGGGGCAGAAGCCAGTGGAAGTGGGCTGAGGAATGAGGGAGGGTGAGACAGAGAGATAGATGGCTCTTCAAAGATTTATTCTGAAGAGAAGGAGAGAGAGAGAGAGAGAGAGACAGAGGCAGTTAGAAGGGTCAAGCAGTCAGAGGGGGATCTTTTCAGGCAGGGATACTTGAATATCTTTCTGCTAGAGATGAGCTGGAAATGGGTGAGAGAGCTGGACAGCGGGTCATGCAGGGGGTGCCTGCACAACGTCAGGTATCACACACCGACCTGAGCAGAGAGCTCAGGGAAGGGCTGCCTGGGTGGTCCCCGTCCAGCTGGGAAGTTGCGGTGGGTTTGGTGGCAGGAGAGGACAACAGCTTCTATATTCCCTAGGAAATAGGAAGCGAAGTCAGCCCTTGAGGGTTTGGGGAGGTGGGGTTAGAGGCATGGAAGGTGGCATGATCGGGGAGTGTGAGCTGACTGCTAGGGATGCCCTTGAGGGGCCGGCATCCAGGGGTCAGAGGGCGAGGAGATTAGGAGAATCCAGGGCTTCACTGAGCCAGAGTGTAGAAAGGCAGGCTCCTGAGGCAGGGCAATGGGAGGAGGCCATGAAGGGAAGGGAAGGGAGTAAGGATGGCCCATTGTGTGTGTGAGGAACAGAGTCACATTCCTCTAAGCAAATGTGATTGTGGGGGAGGGGGGCAGCAGGAGGGGTGCCCCTGTGGAGGACCGACAAGTGGGTGCTCTCCACAGAGCTCCTACAGCCTCTCAGGGGAACCAGGCAGAGCCCGGGCCTCCTCCAGGAGTCTCCTTTGACGTTTGCCTTGACTCTAAAGAAACTGCTTCAGGTGAAATCACAGGAACCCCCCGCCCTTCCCCTGCAGGCCACAGTCCTGCCCAACCCCTTGGGAGAGGCCTGGCCACCCCCTGTTAGAAAGTGATTCCACCCCGGGCGTTTGCATCAGCCCAGCCAAGGGAAAACCTCCTTGTAGGCTGGCTGATTGCAATCATGAAGGGAAATGAGCTGATGGCTCCGAGCCCTGGATGAGGCACAGGGAGGCCCTGGTAGGGCTGGGGCAGGATGGGGTCTGTAGGAGAGAGACCCTGT